CTGATTCTGCTCACTTCACTTTGCATTAATGCATGTAAGCCTTTCCAAGTTTTTCTCAAAACTGCCTTCTCATCATTTCTTATAGCACAATAGTATGCCATTAAATTTATATACTACAACTTGTTCAGTCATTCCTCAATAGATAAGCTTTCCCTTGATTTATTATTCTTTGCCACTACAAAATGAGCTGCTATAAATATTTTTGTACATGTGGGTCCTTTCTGCTTTTTTATGATCTCTTTGGGATACAGGCCAAGTAGTGGTATTGCTGGATCAAAGGTTATGCACAGTTTGATTGCCCTTTGGGCATAGCTCCAAATTGCTCTGAACAGTGGTTGGATAAGTGCACAACTCCACCAACAGTGTTTTAGTGTTCCAATTTTCCCACATTCCTTCCCACATCTATCATTTTCCCTTTTTGTCGTATTACCCATCTGGTAGGTGAGGTTGTACCTCAGAGTTGTTTTTAATTTGCATGTCTCTCATCAATAGTGATTTAGAGCATTTATTTTCTGTATGAATATAGATAGTATTGATTTCTTTGAAAATGGCATGTTCATATCCTTTGACCATTTATCAAGTTGGTAATGGCTTGTATTCTTATGACTATGGCTCAGTTTTCTATATGTTTGAGAAATGAGGCCATTATCAGAGACACTGTAAAAATGGTTTCCTAGTTTTCTGCTTTCCTTCTAATCTTGGTTGCATTGATTTTGTTTGTGCAAAACCTTTTAAATTTAATATAATAAAAATGATCCATTTTAAATCTTGTAATGCTCTCTATTTCTTGTTTGGTCATAAATTCTTCCCTTCTCCATGGATCTGACAGGTAAACTATTCCTTGCTCTCTTAATTTGCATATGGTATAACCCTTTAAGTCTAAATCATTTACCCATTTTTACCTTACCTTGGTATACAGAGTAAGGTGTCAGTCTATACCTAGTTTCTGCCATGCTGTTTTCCAGTTTCCACAGCAGTTTTTGTCAAATAGTAAGTTCTTATCCTAGAAGCTTAGGTCTTTGAATTTATCACATAGTAGGTTACTATGGTCATTTAACTATATCTTATGCACTTAACCTACTCCACTGATCCATTGCTCTATTTCTTAGCCAATACCAGATAGTTTTGATGATTTCTGCTTTATAATACAGCTAAAGATCTGGTATGGCTAGGCCACACTCCTAATTTTTTTTTTTTTTTACTAATTCTCTTGATACCTTTGACATTTGTTTGTTTTTTCAGATGAATTTTGTTATTATTTTTCCTAGGTCTATAAAATAAGTTTCTGGTAGATTGATTGGTATGGCACCAAATACGTGAATTAATGGGGTACAATGGTCATTTTTATCATACTGGTTCAGCCTACCCATGAGCAATCAATATTTTTTCCAATTGTTTATATCTGACTTTGCTTGTGTGAAAACTTTTGCCGTTGTTCCTGGGTTTGTCTTGGCAGGTAGACTCCCATGTATTTTGTATTGCGTAGAGTTATTTTACATGGAATTTCTCTTTTTATCTCTTGCTGCTGGGCTTTGTTGCTAATATATAGAAATGCTGATGATTTATGTGGGTTTACTTCATATCTTGCAACTTTGCTAAAGTTGTTAATTATTTCAAGTAGTTTTTTAGTTGATTTTCTAGGATTCTCTAAGCATACCATTATATCATCTGCAAAAAGTGATCATTTTGTTTCCTCATTGCCTATTCTAATTCTTTCAATTTCTTTTTCTTATTGCTGAAGCTGAAATTTATGGTCCAATATTGATTAATACTGATTATAATGAACATTCTTTCTTCACCCCTGATATAATTGGGAAGACTTCTAGCTTATTATTACTGATAATGCTTGCTGATGGTTTTAGATAGATAATACTTATCATTTTAAGGAAAGCATTAATTATTCCTATGTTCTCTTGCATTTTTAATAGGAATAGGTGCTGTATTTTGTCAAAAGTTTTTTTTTCTGAAACCATTGAGATAATCATACAATTTCTGGTGATTTTGTTGTTGATATAGTCAATTATGCTGATATTTTCCTAATATTGAAACAGCCTTAGATTCCTGGTAGGAATCCCACCTGGTCATATTGTATTATCCTGGTAATAAATTGTTTTAATCTCCTTGCTAGTGTTTATTTAAAATTTTTGCATCAATATTCATTAGGGAAATTGGCCTATGGTTTTCTTTCTCTATTTAAGCTGTTCCTGGTCTTCTTATCAGGACCATATTTGGATCATAAAAGGAAATAGGTAGGATTCCTTCTTTGCCTATTTTCCCAAATAGTTTATACAGAATTGGAATTAATTGCTCTTTAAATGTTTCACAGAATACATCTGTGAACCCATCTGGACCTGGGGATTGTTTTCTTAGGGAGCTTATTAATGCTTGTTCAATTTCTTTTTTCTAAGATGGAGTTATTTAAATATTCTATTTCTCTTTTTTCTAATCTGTGTGATTTATATTTTCATAAATATTCATAAATTTCACTTTGTCAGATTTATTGGAACAGAATTGGGCAAAATACTAATTATTGTTGTAATTTCCTCTTCATTAATGGTAAATTCACCCTTTTCATTTTTGCTACTGGAAATACGGTTTTCTTTAATGAAATTAACCAATGGTTTATTTATATTCTTGGTTTTTTTTTCATAAAGCCAACTCCTATTTTTATTTATTAGCTCAATAGTTTTATTTTCAGTTTTATTACTCTCACCTTTTATTTTCAGGATTTCCAATTTGAGGAACCCTCTTAATTGAGGATTTTTAACTTTTTGTTTTTTTCTAGTTATTTTTAGTTGTATGCCCAATTCATTGATCTGTTCTTTCTCTATTTTTTTATTTAAGAATTTCGAGAAATAAAATATCTCCTAAGTACTGCTTTGACTGCATCTCATAAATTTTGATATGTTGTCACATTGTTCTAATTCTCTTTAATGAAATTATTGGCTGTTTCTATGATCTGTTCTTTCACCCACTTATGCTTTAGGATTTTATTATTTACTGTCCAATTAATTTTAATCTATCTTTCCACTGCCTTTTATTAAATGTAATACCAATGGTTCTCTTTAAGAAGAAGGGTTGACACAGTGGATAGAGTATCGGCCCTGGATTCAGGAGGACCTGAGTTCAAAACCAGCCTCAGACAGGTAACACTTCCTAACTGTGTGACTCTGGGCAAGTCACTTAACCCCCATTGCCCAACCAAAAAAAAAAAAAGAAGGGTTGACCCTTTTTCTATATGCTAGCAAATGGGATTTGCTCTAACTCCAGAGAAAAGTTTGAGTTGAAGTTTTTAAGCAATGAAGTATTTTTTTTTAAACAGGAACATTTTATTAAGTTCAAAAATAGAGATCAAAATTAATTGGGCTAATTTTTAAAATATATTTAACAATAACTTAAAATATGTAAATTACATTAACACTTTGAGTTCAAATAGGGTTCAAAATAGAGATTATCTTAACAAATTGATTTTTTAGTTAAAGGTTTTTTTATTATCTTCAGTTTTTCTTAGTCCTTTTTATTTGGGCTGGACTTCTTTGTGCCCATGAATAGGAATTAAATTTCCATTTGCAGTTTTATTCCTCATTTCAGTTTTATGAACTGAATTTTTATATGATATAGATAGAGAGATATACGCACATACATATATTGCATATATGTATGTATATGTGAAAGAACTGTGCTAACAAGATGGGGATACAAAGAAATGTGAAAACATGGTCTCTTACCTCAAAGAGATTCACATTCTAATGGAGAAATCACATTCAAATAGCTTTGTATATGTAAGATATATATAGTGTAAATGAAATATCATCTTCAAAGGAAAGGACAAGGGGTATGTTGGGGTGAAGGGAACTGGGAAAAGCTTCTTACAGGAAATGGGCTATGAGTTAAGTCTTAAAGAAACTAAGAAAACTAGGAGAAAGAGATGAAGAGGGAAAACATTACAGGTATGGAGGACAGCTACAATTCAGACCAAGTGCAATGAAGTCATGCAAAACATTTTTCTTCATGCATTGATCAAAGTGCTTTGTGATCCATCAAACAAAATTATTGTTTAATTAACTCATTATTTAATGAAAGGATAAAAATGGAAATATTCTATCAAGTTTGCGTTGGCATTGTTTGGACATTGCTTAACTCTTGATATCTGGAAGTTAATGCTTTATGTGAAAATGAGTAGTAGAAGCAAATTATAGGCATGTGCATTACTACATGTGTGTGTGTTTGTGTGTGTGTGTGTGTATAGAATTTAATCTCTCATCAATACATTTGAAAATGGTGGTCCCTGACACTCACCCCCTGGAATAACCATCAAATATGTCCTTATTAAGTTCTCATTTCCTCCAACTGCCCTGTTAACTCTTACTTCCTCATCAGTGTCACTCCTATAGATAATCTGAGTGTTCTTTTTCCATTTCTTTCCACTGAACTCAAACTAAACTTTTCTTGGCCTTTTTTTTTCATTTTCTACTAAATTTCTTCCACTCTTGTCTATCATATTCCCCAAACTATTATGTAGTTGCATATCAATCATGTTTTCATCTCTTTAAATATAATGCCTTCCAAGAAGTCAGATGAACAGGTGAAAAGGTGGTGAAATTAGCAAAAACAACTGAAAAAATGTTCATCTTCTCTTCCTGCTAACAGTCTAAACATAGAAAGTATAGGAATTACACCTATTTGGCATTTAGTCTGGATATGGTAGTAAAAACAAATATAGATTGTAACATTAATTAATTGAATAATGATCACCAATCCATGATGATAAATGGTGATTTGGAGAATCATCATCTTAGTGAAATGCCAGGAGATAATTTGGGCAACTCAATAAATGTTCAGGTATAGTTTTAGACTAAACCCCTAATTTTAAAAAAAAGTTTCACCACTAAAAATTGCAATGAAAATAAGATAGATATTAATGATGAATGAATACAATGAACACCTTTACATTTGCCTTTTATTACTATAGGAAATAATCATTTCACTTTAACATGAATTTAGCAAGCATAGAGAGTTAGCAGAACTTCTTTTCTTACAGTTTCGTTGCTACAGAAATTGTACCTGTAATAAAAAATGGACTCTTAGCTATAATTATCTTATTACCTTTATACATATGCATATGTTTAGAGCTATCTCACAGCATTTTATGTTGCCCGTAAGCTTTTATATTTTTACTCTAGTAATTTGAATAAGTTGTAACTCTTTTATTACACTGTTAGCTCCTTTATCATAGGAATTAAAGATGGAAGAGACATTGTATATAATCCATGTTGAGGTCAGTTACTATACCTAGGATAGTGCCTTATACATAGTAGGTATTTAATAAATGTTTGTTTGATTGGATTAAATCTATTCTAACCCTCTCATTTTGCTATTACTACTACTACTACTACTACTACTACTACTACTACTACTACAACTACTATTAAGTACTACTACTACCACAACTAACTGACATTTATATAGCATTTACTATGTTCCAAGCACTGTACTTAGCACTTGACAATAACCTCATTTGATTCGCACAACAACTTTGAGAGGTAGGTGACTGTTATTATCCTTACGTTACAGATGAGGAATCTTAGACAAACAGTGTTTAAATGACTTTTCTAGGGTCACACAGCTAGTAAAATAAGGCTGGATTCAACCTCATGTCTCCTTGACTACAGGCCCAATGTTCTATCCATTGTGTTATCTTGTAGGGGAAGGATTTGGCATCCTTCAAAGCATTTACTTGAGAGTTGTGATTATAGTAGGAATTTGATTAATGCTTTTTTTTACAGTATTTTAAAGTATAATTGTAGATAATTGGGTTTGCTAAGGTTGCAAACTTGCCTTATACTCCATCTGGGAAGAAAGTAAAATGGACAGTGGAGAAGCATTGCTGAATTGAAGCCACTGTTGTGAGAAGGGAAGGGTACTGGATGTTTTATAAGAGGTGATTTTTAAGTTTTGGTGTCAAGAGTGTCCAACTAAGGAACTTCCAAAGAGCTTCAAGAAGTACAAGGTACAGAGCACTAAGAATGGACTTTTTCTCTGTATTTTAAAATATTGCCAACTATTTAATATGAGATTTGAGAAACTAATTTGGCCACAACACTGATAGGCTTTAAAGATATTGACAGAACTCATAATCAGTCAATCAAAAAATCAAGCACATATTTAGCACCTACTACATGCCAGGCACAGTGTCAGGTGCTGGTAAAGGAAATCTTGGGGTTTGGAATGCCTCCAGAATAAAGGAATGTCAAGAATATTTTAAAGAAAAAGTGGAAATAAGCCTATTTTTTCATTAAAAACACCTCAGGTAATAAGTGCATTTGGTACATAATTTTGTACTCAATGTTTTAGAGAGGAAAATATTGCTAGCCTCAAAATAGTAGAATCCTTATGTAGAACCCTTATATAGCAGAACCCTTATGCACCTTGGGGGCTGAATACCAGGATTCTGAGGAACACCATTTGGGAAACTGAATTTGAGCACAATACTGCATATTCCCTGAAGCTCCTGCTTTGTGAGGACAGTTAGCATGATTAATTCAATTTAACAATTAAATCAACATTTATTAAACACCTACTATGTACTATATGCAAGGCCCTCTGCTAAATACTGGGAATTTGGAGATAAAAAAATCTTTAAGAAACTTTTACTCATCCTTGTATTCTCTTCTAGCATCTTGTCCAGCATTTAATGGGTATTCAGTAAATATTTGCTAAATGTTAAATAAGTATATGAAGCAGCACAAGAAACCAGCCCAGAATAAAATATTCCTTTCCTACTTCTATTGTTTTTTTTTATGTTTAGCTTTTCCCATATTTTAGCTCAATAGCAGTACTTGAACTATACTAGACATTTCCAAAAACACATAGATTAGGATTATCTTGGCCCAGAAAGGATGGAGGAAGAAATTGGTACATGAACATTAAATGATTTTCCTTATTAGTAGCCAGGCATTTATCACACAACATTAATTCAATCATGGTCATTTTTCAATAACATTGATGAATTGCAACAAACAAACTCTAAAATAATGTGGCACAAATGTTCTATATTATTCAGTCCAAAGTCTCCTTACTGGTATTTACCAAATTGATTTATGGAACTAACTGCCATCTGTGATGCCATTTTCCTCACCTTTATGTTTTCCTAGAACCAATTAAATATTACTACTTGTATGACATTGTAAGTTCATTCATCTCTCTGGGCCTCAGTTTTCTCACCTGTACAATGAGAGACTTTGATTAGGTGATTTCTAAGGTTCCTCCTGTCTCAAAATTCTGTGATTCTATATTCATTTGAAATACATTAGGTAGAGACATACTTAAATAATTGGAATTTCATGAAGGTAGAATCTCAGGGTCAAACTCTGACCTTTCCATGGACTTTTATTGAATGACACAATACCAACCAACACATCTTTAAAACTTCAATTTTCCTGAAGTAAGCTATCATCTCATGAAATATTTTAGCTGTAAGCTAAAGGTAATGTGAAAAGGTTACTGAAGCAAATCTATCTCAAAGTAGATTTCTGGACAGATATGCTTCTTTATACTTCATATCTCTCTTGGTTCACAATAAAAAGACTTACATTTGTCCATCTGAAGTTTCTACAGTGATCGTCGATGCTCCTACTTTGGGCAGGGTTGGATTGATCATATTGTTGTCCCAAAGAAATTTAACTTTTTGAAGTGTTCCAACATTGAAATTTGAATCAATCTCATTAGTATGTGTAGAGCCTGGTTGTAGTTTCCCCCTTGAAATAGAAGTAGATAACAAATTCAAGTACAGGAATCTCTACATCTTTACTTACAAAATCTATACATGATACATATTTTGCCAATTAAATTGTGTTAGCAATGTATTAAACAAAAGCAAAATTTCACAAACATAGTTGTAATTTATGCTTGACATGCCTCATAGCATTTTAACATATTTTGGTCACAACTTTCTTCTATAATTTAATAAGTGATGACCTCATTAAATCTCTTTCCTCTATCTGTTGTGTTAGCAGCATAATTATTTACTGATTATAAATTAAACACCTGATGACAAGAACAAAAAAATCATTTTATGAAATAAAAATAAATGATTTGCCCAGCAAAAATCAATGCACCAAAGTTAAAACCCAAATTCTGGAGTCAATTTCAGAATACACAATTCAAAAGGGAATGACTAACTTCATAAAATATATATCTCAGTACTAAGTCAATTTTCATAGCAATGAAAATAAAACCAATAATTTGGGCAAAATTCATTTACATAAAGTAATAATTCCAACATTTAAGATATATGATAATATTTAACTCACTTATAAATCTCATATTGCCTGCTGTTTCCATTACTTCCAAACAAAGAAACTATTGCTTTTCCAGTAACCTTGGTTCCAGACAATGTGACAGTTACTTTATACCTCCAACCTATAGAGAAAGGTAGAAATACAATTATGAAGAAATAAATATATTAAATGTACAAATATAAATAAATAAATAGAAAGAAATAGATATTTTAGTAAAACTTAATTTAGATGGCACTAATGTAAAATATATGATAATTCAATTATAGCATGAATGATTCTTATTGGATGCAAAGTTTTAAGTAATTCCTTTTATTTTTTTTCAAATTTTCATGTCTTACTAATAAAATGAATTCAAACTAAAGTCAACAATCAACTTCAGCACTCAATCTACTATGATCTTGCACAAAGTCACACAGTTAATTAGTGACAAAACCAGCGCAAGACTTGAGGTCTGTTGACACTTTGTCCAATTTTTTTTTCCACTCTCCTGTTCCTTACATTTTATTGCTACATGTTTATGATGATTTGGGATTTCTGCTTTCTTAAAATAGCGTTTCTTTTAAAATAATCTATAATTGATATTTTTCATTGATCTTTCTTTTGACTCAACCTGAAATTTTTCTGAATTTATAAATTTTATATCAAAAAAAGTTATTTTGTTTATGGTTACTTCACCAACTTAGAGATCACTATCATGATGCTTGACAACTTATGAAATGCTTTTCTCACAATAAACTTTGTGAAAGAGTGTTTTTATCCCCATATTTTAGAGGAGAAAGCCAAGGCTTTGAAAGTATGAGTTATTGGACAAAAGTCACATTGATATAAGCATCTAGCAGAGCCTGGAATTCAACCTTGCTTCATATTGTGACTTTAAGCCCAGTAATCTTTCAACTATATAATATTATTTTAATGTCATAAATTCAGAACTGGAAGGGACTTTAGAGGCCAAGTAGTCTTACACTCTCATTTACCACCTGAGGAAACAGAGTCAGAGAGATCAAGGGACTTATCCAGAGTCATAGAGCTAAGAGGGACTAGAAGTGGAATTGAACCTAGGTCTTACTTATTTTGAGTTCCTGACTCTACATACTCAGCCATACTATCTCAACACGACTCATCTATACAACACTACAGTCCTGTTAGGTCAATGTGAGGGCAAAATTGTGAAGTAAAGGCATCTTCCACAATTTTATCCTCTTGGTTCTATATTCTCTCCTCTCTTCTTTCTTTTTTTTGGCCAGAGCACATAGAAATGATTTCACATTCTGCTATACAAAGCTATTATCAGACCCTTTGTATACTCTCAGCTATGTATAAGCTGCATTTTCACCTTACACATTGATCTTTCAGCATTTATTGGGTAAGCAGCATAAAAAAACCTGACTGTCCAAACTGTTGTTTTTTAACATTCACAAAAGAAAACATGGTTGTATGTTTAAGGGCCCTGAGGGCAGGTACCAATATCACACCCACAAAATCTAGGGAATTTATTTTGTGAAACCTCTGGATATTTGGCAATCTGTTTCAAGAATAGTTGGAAAAGAGAAGTCCATTTCTACGCCCAACGTGTTTAACAGTGGACCCATGCTGTGCTGTTATCCAGAGTTCTCAAGCCAGGAAAAATCTACTACCTCCTCTAAACTGGCCATCAGTATCCAGTAGTCATTTCCTAAATATGGTCACTCCTTTCCTTTTTCTGTATGTACTGGAGGAAGTCTTTCCAACAGGCAATAACATTTTCACAGAGCTTTGGAAATGAGGAAAGTCAAATGGAAACTTACGAGCAAAATTACTGGCCTCTCCAGTATTCAGATATAAGACCTCTCCCACTGAGCTCGTTTTACCAGCAAATCTGTCAGCATAGTGGCCCATCTGTGGACACCCTCCAGATGGACAAGGGAAGCACTTATTCTGATCAAAATACATAAATAGTTAATGAGAACATGTTCTCTTTTCAGTTTTACCTACCTACACTTACCCTATTGATTCAATTATCTAAAAAGCAAATACAATTCTGGTACCCTCAAAACAGTTGAGAAAAAAAAATATAAAGAGGAGTTATCCTATCCTCCAGACTAAGTCTGTATAATATAATGAATGTTTGTTGAACTGGTAACTTAAATTGAATGATGAAGGCAGTTTTCAATGAACTTGTACTAATGGGTGTTAACAACCCAAGAACAGAATATGGAATTATGACCTTCCTTCCTTCACCCAATAATCATAGATGGCATTTATATAGAACATAAAGATTACCAAGCACTATAGACATGTTTTTTCCTTTGGTCCTTACAACACAACCTGCAAGGTAGGTGCTATTATTATCCCCATTTTACCGATGAAGAAACTGAGGCTGAGAGAGATTAAATTAGTTGCCCAGGGTCCTATCACTAGTATCTTTCTGAGGCAGAATTGAAACTTTGGTGTTTCTAACGTCAAGTGCAGTACAGTGTCTATTGTGACAAAACTACCAACTAGAACTTGAGATGTTTCTCTTTGTTTAATGACATTCAGCATTGATGATTTTTAGAATGAACATTTGTAAGAACTAAAGAAAAGCTAGCTTTTAAAAGTAATTGGGTGAACCTTATCAATATTTGGGATCCAATATCACAACACAATAATGCTGCACTAGATACCTGAGAAAACTTTTCTTTTCTTTGTAGGGAATCTAAAGCTCTGTGTATACTATGCTACAACACTGGGCAAAACTGAAAAATCTAATCTGTTATCAGGATGTTTAGACAATCCATATTTTTATTAATTTATTTGTTTTTAGTTTTCAACATTCACTTCCACAAGATTTTGAGTTCCAAATTTTCTCCGCATCTCATCCCTCCCCCAAACAAAAGACAGCGTGTATTCTGAATACCCCTTGTCCTAATCTGCCCTTCCTTCTATCTCACCCCCCCTTCTCTTATCCCCTTCCTCTTCTATTTTCCTGTATTTTCCTATAGATTTCTATACCCCGTTTTCTGTATATCTTATTTCCCAGTTGCATGTGAAAACAATTTTTTTTAACTTTTGTTTTTAAAACTTTGGGTTCCAAATTTTCTCCCTTCCTCCCTCCCCACCCACCCTCATTGAGAAGGCAAGCAACTCGATACCAGTTGTACATGTGTAGTCATGCAAAACACTTCCATATTAGTCATGTTGTGAAAAACTAAGTATATTTCCCTTCATTGTATCCCACCCCCCATTTATTCTATTCTCTCTTTTGACCCTGTCCCAACTCAGAATTGTTTGCTTCTGATTACCCCCTCCCTCAATCTGCCCTCCCCTCTGTCATCCTCCTGCTCTCTTGTCTCCTTCCCACACCCCCTATTTTCCTGTAGGGTAAGATAGATTTCCATACCCAATTGAGTGTGTATGTTATTCTCTCCTTAAGCCAAATCCGACGAGAATAAGATTCACTCATTCCCTCTCACCTTCCCCCCATTTTCTCTCCACTGTAAAAGTCTTTTCTTGTCTGTTTTATGTGAGATAATTTACCCCATTCTAACTCTCCCTTTCTCCTTCTCTCCATATAATCCTCTCTCACCCCTTAATTTTATTCTCCAGATATCACCCCTTCATCTTCAACTCACCCTGTGCCCTCTATCTATCTATCTATCTATCTATCTATCTATCTATCTATCTATCTATCTATCTATCTATCTTTACATACATGTAATTTTCCCTCCGACTACTCTAATACTGACAAAGCACTCATGAGTTACAAATATCATCTATCCATGCAGGAATATAAACAGTTCAACCTTAATAAGTCTGTTATGATTTCCTTTCCTGTTTACCTCTTCATGTTTCTCCTGAGTCTTGTATCTGAAAGTCAAATTTTCTATTCAACTCTGGTCTTTTCATCAAGAATGCTTAAAAGTCCTCTATTTCACTGAATATCTGTTTTTTCACCTTAAGGATTATGCTCAGTTTTGCTGGGTAGGTGATTCTTGGTTGTAATCCTATCTCCTTTGCCCTCCAGAATATTATATTTCAAGCCCTGCGGTCCCTTAATGTAGAAGCTGCTAAATCTTGTGTTATTCTGATTGTGTTTCTACAATACTTGAATTGTTTCTTTCTGGCTGCTTGCAATATTTTCTCCTTGACCTGGGAACTCTGGAATTAGACTACAATGTTCCTAGGAGTTCTCCTTTGGGGATCTGTTTCAGGAGGTGATTGGTGGATTCTTTCCATTTCTATTTTACCCTCTGGTTCTAGAATATCAGAGCAGTTTTCCTTGATAATTTCTTGAAAGATGATGTCTAGGCTCTTTTTTTGATCATGACTTTCAGATAGTTCAATAATTTTAAAATTCTCTCTCCTGGATCTATTTTCTAGGTTGGTCATTTTTCCAATGAGATATTTCACATTATCTTCTATTTTTTCATTCTTTTAGTTTTGTTTTACAGTGTCTTGATTTCTCATAAAGTCACTAGCTTCCAATTGCTCCATTCTAATTTTTAAGGAAGTATTTTCTTCAGTAAGCTTTTGGACTTCCTTTTCCATTTGGCCAGTTTTGCTCTTTAAGGCATTCTTCTCCTCATTGGCTTTTTGAGACTTCTTTTGCCATTTGGGTTACCTATTTTTTAAGGTGTTATTTTCTTCAGTATTTTTTTTGGTCTCCTTTAGCAAGCTGTTGACTTGTTTTTAATGATTTTCTTGCATCACTCTCAGTTTTTCCTTTACTTATCTTACTTGCTTCTTAAAATCCTTTTTGAGCTCTTCCATGGCCTCAGACCAATTCAGATTTTTCTTGGAGGCTTTGGATGTAGGAGCTTTGACTTTTTTGTCTTCTTCTGGTTGTATGTTTTGATCTTCTTTGTCACCAAAGTAAGATTCTAAGGTCTGATTCTATGTGCTGCTTGCTCATGATCCTAGCCAATTACTTGAGTTATAAACTCTTAAGGTAAGAGTCTGCTTCCAGTGTGGAGAATGTACTGTCCCAAGCTTCAGGGGTTTCATGCAGTTGTTTTCAGAGATACTTCTAGGGACCTGTAAATTTTCAGTTCTTCCAAGGTGCTATGATCAAGGGCGAGGAGTTTACTCCTTTCCTGGCCTGTGCTCTGGTCTATGAGTGACCACAAGCACTCTTTTCTGTCTTGGAACTGTGAGGAGATTCTTTCTCCACAGCCACTACAGGGTCCACCATGCCAGTGTTCCTCCTCACCCCAGGACCTATACCCAGAATTGTGACCCAGATCCAATCACGGGCAAAGCAATAGAATCCTGCACCAGCAAAGAGATCCTTGCAGTACCCCTCTGATGAGTCACTCGATTCCCCCTCAGCCTGTGGGCTGGAAGCTCAAGAGACAGCCACTGCCCCAGGGCCACACTCAGGGACAGGGGCTGGGAGCACCCTCGCTTCTCTCTCACCACAGACACAGACTTTTCCTACTGACCTTCTAAGTTGTCTTTGGTGTTCTTGGGTTGAGAAGTCTGGAAATTGCCATAGCTGCCAATGATTCAGTCCTCTGAGGCCTGCTCCAGGTTCCTTGAGGCATGTGCGACCATGCTGACCGCGCTCTTCTCCCCACCTGGCATGATACCTTTCTGATCAAGCATCCAGGCTGTCTGGATTTGTTTCACTCTGTCTTTTTGTGGGTTCTGCTGCTTTAGAATTTGTTTGGAGCCATTTTTTACACATATTTGGAGGAGTTTGGGGGACAGCTCAAGCAAGTCACTGCTTTTACTCCACCATCTTGGCTCTGCCCCTGACAATCCACATTTTTGATAAACTTTCTGATTTTAGTTTTACTTTTTCAAATCGGTAACAGATAGAAATTAGCTCAGATATATGTATATATATATATGCTTTCTTCTTTTCAAAAATGGCTTCCAACCCCAATTGATACATGGTCAAAGGATATGAACAGGCAGCTGTTAGATGAAGAAATTAAAGCCATCTACAGTCATACAAAAGAATGCTCTGTATCACTATTGATTAGAGAAATGCAAATCAAAACAAGTCTGAGATACCATATCACACCTATCAGATTAGCCAACATGACAAAACAGGAAAATGATAAATATTGGAGGAGATGTGGGAAAACTGGAACACTAATGCATTGTTGGTGGAGTTGTGAAATGATCCAACCATTTTGGAGAACAATTTGGAACTATGCCCAAAGGGCTATAAAAATGTGTATACCCAGCAACAGCACTTCTAGGGCTGTATCCCAAAGAGATCATACAAATTGGAAAAGGACCCACATGTACAAAAATATTTATAGCAGCTCTTTTTGTGGTGGCAAAGAATTGGAAATTGAGAGGATTCCCATCAATTGGGGAATGGCTGAACAAGTTGTGGTGTGTGAATGCAATGGAATACTATTGTGCTATAAGAAATGATGAGCAGGTAGACTTCAGAAAAACCTGGAAAGACTTGTATGGTCTGATGCAGAGTGAAGTGAGCAGAACCAGGAGAACATTGTACACAGTAACAGCCATGTTGTGCAATGACTAACATTGATAGACTTAGCCCTTCTCAGCAATGCAAGGATCTAGGACATCTCTAAAGGACTAATGAAAAATGCTATGCACATCCAAAGTAAGAACTATGGAATTTGAATGCAGATTAAAGCATACTATTTTCTATTTTTTTTTCTTCTGTTGTGTTTTGTTTCCTCCTTCTGGTGCTTCCTCTTATTGGTTCTAATTCTTCCTTACAACATCACTAATGTGAAAATATGTTTAATAGGAATGTATATGTATAGCCTATATCAGATTGTGTGCCATCTTGTGGAGGGAGGTGGGAAGGGAAGGGGAGAAAAATCTAACACTCAAAAGTTTATGGAAGTGATTGTTGATAAATCAAAATAAACCAATAAAGTTTTAAAAAATGGCTTCCAAATAAAGTTTCTAAAATGACCCTAAATAAAACAAATACTTTAGCAGTGCCAATAAGGGAATGGCAATAAGGATGAGGCAATCATTAGTATAATTTAAACCAAAGTGAATATTTGTGTGTGGATGTTGATAAATGTGGAAGATGACAGTAGAAATCAATAAATGCTGAGCTGGAAGGGTATTGGAGACATCTAGCCCCTTTTTCTCATTTTCCAGATAAATAAATAGGAGCCCTAGAGACAATGCTGTACGTCACATAGTCTCAGAATAGGACTGGAACCCAAGTCATCTAGTTTATAGTTCAGTACTCTTTACACTACATTACAATGTTCTGAGCTATTTTACAGAGATTTGGGGAGAATGAGAGACTTGGGTATATTCTATCTACTTGTTCTCAAGGATTGAAGGAATTGAAGGTGTTTATTCTGGAGAGAAAGGGAAGAAGGAGCCACTTGATAGTTATTTCAAGAACTGTGAAATGAAAGGGATTTAAAATTTTCCGTTGAGTCCCAGTAGACAGAACCAGAAATTATGGGTAGTAAAGGGCCTGCATGATAGCAAAAAAAATTATTAACAATTAGAATTTCCAATAGTGCAATGGGCTGGTGATGAAGTCCCCCTTGATGGAGGCCTTTAATAGTCCCTGGATGGTCACTTATCAGGCATGTTGTAATAAAGATTGCATTCAAGTGTAGTTTGCATTAAATGGCCTCTAATGGTCCTTGTTCCTTCCAAGTCTGTAATTCTTTGTAGAGAAATACCTTTTTTCTTGCTCTCAAGAAGTGATTTCATTTATAAGAAAGCTCATGGTAAGGAAATTTCCTCTATCAAAGCAAATCAGCACCTTTCCAGAGCACTGGGAAGTTAAGCTACCTGCTCAAGGTCAAGTTAATGTGTGCCAGAGGTAGAAAGAGAACACAACTTTTATGGACTTGGAACCCAAGTTCTCTATGCTGTATGCAATGCTGATTCTCATGGTAAGCAATAACTTACTGCCTCAAAATCTTTGTAGGAAGCACAGGGGTATCCAGAAAAGCCATCTGGGTTGAGGATGCTATCTGCATAATACTTGTAACTTCGTAGGTGATTACATGCTGCAAAATCACGAGTTCCTGTGCAAATAGATGAGATCATACAGAAGGGACATTGTATTATTTTTTTAATCCAAAATTATAATTGAAAATTTATGACATTTAAATAAGTCACAGATTTCATAGATCATGGTCAAAGTTTAAGGACATATCACACTTTTAAAAAACTATTATTTACATTTTGTGATATATTTAACCCTCACTATGTACCATTAGACCACGCTTATCATTTCATCAATATACAGAGCTCCTGGGAAGACAGCTTCTCTACCAATAGTGATTGGCACATTCTCTTCAACTTAGAGAAAAAACTGGGCTACCAAGAAGGTCAGTGACTTGCCCAGCAGCAGACAAACAGTACTTGTGAGAGGTAGGATTCATTCAAGGTCTCCCTGACTCTGAGATCAGCAACCTAAACCACTCTGGCTCTCAAAAAGAGTTAGTGGTTACAAAAATGGGACTAAATATACATGAGTGTGGGAAATTTATTTCAAGGCATAATGGATATATTTTAGTTCTGTACCTTATTAAAGGATAAGCTAGACTGATCCAATGAAAATCTTTCACAAATTCATTTCCTTTCATAAGTACTTACTTCCACTGTAGGAAGGAGGTCTCATACAACTGTAGAGTACTATGGAACAGACTTTAACATCCATAGTTTTATAGAAGAATAAGACAAGGTGTTGGCTAAACATCTTGGCAAGTTTGGCAAGATGGTAATATGAATTTTACTAATAACATTTATTATATGCTGAATGGATTTACCTTCCCAGATTCCATTTATATCGACAATCTGAGAAAGAATATTCTTCTGACATCCGGGCATTTCCTCTCCTCCATTTGGGAAGAAATCAAGGTGTCCCACCAGCTGACTCATTCCAAAACCTAAGACATTTAAAACAAGTGTTAAGTGGGTTTGAATGCATTGCCAAAAACGTAATTATGGCTAGTCATAGTTGCAAGATTCAAGGGGAAGAGCTCACCTAAGTAAGGGATGATAGGAGCAGCATCTGTGTGAATGACATCAACAAACAAGGCATCACTGGGATCCAATCGAACTTCTTCTGGGGTCCCTTCAAAGAAAGGCTCAGCAGGATCCAATCCTGGAAGAAATATTGTTATATTTTAGTTATATTCTTTTATCTAATATAACATAAGCTATTATCAAGTGGCAGCCATGACATGGTGTATAGAGAGCTAACTGTTAGGTAGAAGACCTGGGCTCTATTCCTCCCTTTGATGTGCAATCTGTCACACTGGATGTGTGACCCTGGGCAAGTAAATTAACCTTTCTATGTTTTCGGCAATTCTCTAAGACTATAAAGTGGTGACCTGAATTGGTCACTCCACATCCAAAAATTCACTGTATCAATGAAATTACAGTTCTGGTTCTTACCCCCAAGAACTGTTATAGAAAATTTTTTAGATATATTCACTTTCATTTGTGTGTTATATGATAATAATAATAACATAATACTTCACAATTAAGTAGTGCTTGAGGGTATATAATATATTTCCCTCACAAAATTCCTTTAAGATATGTAATTTGAGCAATTATTATTTACCTTCTGAAGATGAGGAAACTGAGGCTAAGAAGGTCAAGTGACTTGCCCCAAGATCTTACGTGTGTATGTGTATGGATAATTGTGAGGAAAGATTGTTTGAATTTCTTATTATTTTTAGAATATCATTGCCTCTTTTGTTGACATCAATGCTATAAAAAAGGACTTTTCTGAGCGTCACAGAATTTACTACTAGGTTTCAATTTACAGAGGGCAAGGATAACCAGTTTCAGAACTGTCAATCATTGAATCACACCACAGTGGTGTTAAACTTGAGGTAAATACAAGGATGGGGTACTTTTAACCTACCAAGAGAAGTTCAAATTTTATGGATAATTTCTCACCTTTAACTAAACTCTCTGAAAATATAAGATAATTTTTTTTCTAAATATCCCTACTAGGCTGTTAAAATACAAAGGCAGAATACAGATTTTTTCAGAGAATCCATAAGTTTTGCTGGTTACTTTAACAGAGCCATGATGTCAGAGATGAAAAGAAGGGAAGCGATAAAAGTCTGCTACAGCTTTTTAGTCAATGTTCCCCCAAAATTTCATCTCATATCAAGGATAAGATTATCTTTGTGAGGTAAAATTACCAAATTATCCCAGGGCAGGAAATATCATAAGACCCAGGCTCTCTTCCAAAAAATACAAAATTTTATATAGGTGCTCCCTATATGATGCTCATAGCAGGCAAAATGAAGCAGCATTCTAACATTTTACATGACACTTAAAAGACCATCAACTTCCCGTCATGTTCACCCTCATGTCTTAATTATATTATGGTAATGTTAGCACAAAGTTGCAGTTTTCACCATTTTAATCCTACCTGTGATTCGTCCAATGAGACCATTTGACCTTCTCCCAGCCTCTCCAGCAACATGCGATCCCAGACTGTGACCAATGATGTGGACATTGGAAAGAGAGTATCCAAGTTCGGTCTGATGAGACAAAAGGCCTTCAGAAATGGCTAGGTTGGTATTAGTGACATGTTCATGATATACTCCTTGAGAGTCTTTATTGAGAGTGACTTCTCACTTCCCTTCAACAGGGAAATGATATTTCTAAGTTTTCAAGGAGGGCAAATACTAAAGTATTAATGATTTATGGCTTTTATTCTGCACTTACTTCTTGTCTTAAGCAACATGTCTTTATGATTCTTTTGTTGTGTTTTTGAGAAGGTGAAGATGTGATACTAAACCTACCATGGAGAATTGTTAGAAGCTTCCCAAAGCAAAGATTTGGAATAGGAAGTGATAATAAAGAATTACCCAGCCACTATGTTGAGTCTAAGATATTTCTTGTGTCTTTTGGAGAAAAAGTGTATTGATCATAGTATCATAGATTTAGTGGTGAAAGGGCCCTTGGAGGTCATCCAGTTCAGCCATCTCCATATTAAGAAATGGAAACTGACTAGCCAAAAAATTGACTACCAGAAAATTGACTAGCCAAAGCTCACAGAACCTAGTTAGGTAGTAGAGCTGGAATTTGAACCCACATCCTCAGACTCTGAATCAAGTATTCTTTCCACTGTGCCCCAGTGCTTCCCAACATTTCCTAAAAGCTTGTATCGACACATGCACAAATAACTTGACCCTTGACAATTACCTAGGCACTGTAATATTAAAAACTAGCACAATTCAGTCAACCAACTGATGAAAATTACTTGTAGGAGACTGGGGGGTGGGCCAAATCAAATTAGTTGCATAATTTTTTTGTTAAAACTGAACTGAGCAGGGAATTTAGTCAAAATGAAAAATATAGGTCTGTGTTTGTAATAATACTAATAACAGCATTCATACAGTGCTTTAAAATTTGCAAGGCACTTAACAAATACTGTCTCATTTTATCTGCACAGCAACCTAGGGAAGCAGATGCTATTATTACTCACACTTTACAGACTAGGAGACTATGTCAGAGAGAAGTTAAGCAACTTGCCTAGAGTCACACAGCCAGTATGTGTCTGAGGCCAGATTTGAACTCAGTCTTCCTAACTCAAGATCTAACGCTATATCCACTGAGTTGCCTTCATCATTATTTGCAGATAAAAATCCAAATGCAGACATACTACTTTCCTTTCTGGTCAACCAAAACAAATGAAAAACTCTTCATAGAAAGGTTGACGATGACCTCGAGCAATTGTATGAGCACAGCCTTCAGAGGACAATGGATAGAGAGTGTGAGATAACATGAAGACGCCTAGTTACCTTGAGATAATCCACAAAATAGGCTATTTCAGCCCCCACTACTCGAATATTTTGTGAGGCTTGGGTATATAAAGTCCGTGAACCCTTTTTCCAGTCCACACAGATGCAGTTTACCTCTTCCACTTTAAACAAATTCTAAAACAAATACAACAGAAATAGTTTAATCATCAAGGGAGTGTTAGAACACCCATATCTTAAAGATTATTTTACTTATCACTTATAAGCTAATAAACTTCATTTTCTATATGGTCTGTTCAAGATCTTAAAAACTATGAAGAAATACATCAATTAACAACAACAAAAACATTTTAGGATAGTGCAATATTGGATTACCACTCTTTGACATTTAACATTCCCAACTATTAATCTGACCCTGCTGAAAACTGGTATCCGAAGATCATCAAGCACTCTACTGAGGGGTTCCATTGAAGCATGTTGGTGAAATGTGTTTCATGGGAAACTACAGGAAATATTGTATATAATGTGTTGCTGAGCAATATCAGGGATTTGTCTGTGTACAGTTTTCCCCTACCAGACCCTTTTCGGATGAGTATAATTGGTAATTGAAAAGTTTGTTTGTTTTAAAATACCCTGTTTTCAAAGAAACTAAAGGGATTTCTGGACTAACCTATATAATTATCTTTACAGCTATATCATTAGAATGGTACTGCACATAAAAATAATATCCTGCAGATATGTAGTTCAAACCTTTGGCCTTTCTAGGCATGTGTACCTTCCTATGGAGCCAGAACTAGCATGGGGGAAAAGGGGCAAATGGGGCTCTGCTCCAGGGAGCTGATATCCCAAGAGGGATGTGAAGTGGAATATGGGATGCAATCCGCTCTGGCTACAATCCTGTAGTTACAGTTGCCTTTCCTGGAGACCAGCTTCCTCTCTCCCCCCAGTCCCAAATCCAGTATATACAAGTGCTACGACTGTTTGGGGATAGGGGACAGGTTGTCTCCATGAGGAGTAATGGTTTTTCTGTACCACCATGGCCCTCACACACCCAAATAAATTTGTCACATTTGTCTAGTTACGGCTCTATTGAGGACTCCCCCCGTCCCATCTTGGCTTCTTCACAGAAAGTTAGGCTTTCTGAGAACCCAGGCAATTAATGTAAATGATTGTTGAATTGAAGTTTGCCGAATGCTTGAAGAGGGAGGCATTGAGGAAGAGAAAATGAAAGATCTCTTGGCT